CCCACCGTTGCACCGACCTTATCCCAGAGATTTGGAAACTAACAGTTCGTGTCATTTACATTTTTCTGATTCCAAATTCACAGCTCTCCAAAATTATGAAGAAGTCTGTGAGAAATGGATGACTTTGCATTTGGCAAATGAGAATACAAAATCCTGCAAAACCTTTGGATTACTAGGTGAATCTGTTCCAGACTCATCATGTGCAAACCTGCTCAACCTGATGGCTGACCAGTGGCCTAAATGAAAAGAGTTGTTGGTCTTGAGCTCCCAGAGGCCCAGTCTCTAGGCCATAAAACCACCCCACAATTATCCCATTTTGTGGCAAATCTCAGAAGTCAAGGCTATAAGCGACAATAGAAACTGAACTAACCTTTCAGATGTAAAGGAGCTTTCTTCAGAAAGCAGCTGAGGTGCATTACAAGGAGACAGCATGGAAGAAGCCTACACTGCAACTGCCCATGTTCTGCATTTTGTGGATAAGTGGTGTTTCATTCTTTTACTGCTCTTGGACTCATGGCTTTCACCAGAATAAAATCCTTAAAAACAAACAAACAAAAAACAACACAAGGCCTATGTGGTGGGAAATTTCCTTATGATTAGCTTAGAGTTGGCTCCACAGCAAGCAGGACTTTTGTTCACAGTTCTAAACTGGCTGAGACACATTTTCATAGATCAGTTTTACCTACCTGCTCAGATGTCACCAACTTGCACCATCCCTAGGCCCACATACGTATGCAGTCTTCCACAAATCCGTCTTCAGCGAAGATGCTTCTAAGTTTATGACTGAGCTTTCATGTTTCTTTCTTGCTGACATCCTCCAGAGCTTTGTGACTGAGATAGTTATAAGACAGGAGGACTCTGAGAACCCAGATAATTATCCTCCTACTATTACTGATGCACAGATCAAGGCTGATTTGTTCCTTGCTTTTGCAGAATAGGGCAACTGTAAATTCTAGACAAGTGCTATAAGGCTCAAGGCGGGGGGAGAGGTCTCCTTCCCAAGAACTCTTTCATGACAGCCAACAAAACAGAAAGTACCATGACACTGGACCCAATGATCTAATTTTATAAGGTTTTTTCCATGGGACACTAAAAATAATGAGAATATTAAGACAAAAGAAGATACCTTTGAGGATAACTGAAAATAACTCTTCTCTTGACTTTCTATTTATCACACAAACACTTGCAGATTAATTCAGGTGGGCTGTAACTACTGTTGAGCTACGGAAGCTCTGTGGAATGACTTAGACTTGTGTCCTGGCACAGGACAGCAGCAGGGGCTGTGATCACAGTCAGCTTTCCATTCTTGCCCTTAATGGTTCACTTCACTAATCTACTTTCATAGTTTCATAGTTTCATAGATTAAGGGTCGGAAGGGACCTAGTAGATCTTCTAGCCCGACCCCCCGCCAGGGCGGGAGAACAGCAAAAAACCCCAAAAAGAGAAACGGGACTCAAACGAGTCCAGCCAGGTAGGCATCCAGCCTCTTCTTAAAGACCCCCAGGGTAGGGGCCAGCACCACTTCCCTTGGAAGTTGGTTCCAGCTCCTAGCCGCCCTAACTGTGAAGTAGTT